AAAATAGATAAATAATTAAACTTGCCAGCTTCCTGCAGTCGAGTCTGCAGCAGCTGGATGGTCCTCGCCTGGCGCTGGATCACGGCCTCGCGCTGCGCCAGCATGCGCCCGATGTCCTTCTGCTTGCGCACGAGCCGCGACTTGAGCAGCATCAGCTGCCCGGACAGCACCTGCAGCTGCGCCTGCCCGGAGCGCGACACGGCCGCCAGGGCCTCCTCGTAGGCGAGCGCGCGACGCTGCCACTTGAGCAGCTGCTGCGCCGGCGCCGCCTTCCCGGCCGACGCCTCGGGCGCCTTCTGCTTCTGCAGCACCCTGATGGTGCGGAGGGCCTCCTCCAGCGTCCCGGGGTTGAGGTTCACGACCTCCTGCTCCGGGTCGGCCGCCACCGCGCCGTCGAGGGCGGCGCAGGCCTCGGCCTCTGCGGCCGCCGTGTCCGCGGCCTTGGGGCCCGTGTCCTCTCTGCAACAAACAAGGGCCGTGGCGGGTCAGAACAGTTGGGAACAGGGCGCACGCCCTCGCACTGCTAAATCCAATCCACCCTCCAACACACAAATTAGAGCAGACAGGGGAAAAGAACAAGCAAGCGCGTGGGGCCGACGGGATGGGGAGGGGGTGGGGGGTGGGTTGATAAAAGTTGATGAAGAGGAGAGCATTCTGTTCCGCCGGGGGTCAAACGGTCGTGGGGTTGCTGGTCGCAGTGGGATAGGTGGGGGGTAGGAGCCCACACAGGTCCTGCACGGCTTTGGAGGGTGGAGGGTGAAGGGGGGGGGGGGCTCCGGGGCCCCGTGATATACTGCGGGCTTTGGGCTTTCGACCGGAGCAGAGCAGGCCGATCCCCGCCGGACGGACCGGAGTTGGGTACCAATGCGCTCGTGGAAGCGAGTGAGAGGGTGTAGTACCCTCCCCCCCCCCCAGGTTTCCCACCCTTGGCTTGGCATGCCCTCCCGTCGCGTCGCGCCATGCAATCAGAAATTCTTTCCAGGGGTGAGGCGCTCGGCCTCGGCTCGGGTCACCTGGGCAGGGAATGGGAAGAATTACTCCCAGATGGGGGGGGGGGGGCGACCTCCACACACGCGCCACCCTTCCTCCTTCCCTGTCTCTCTCGCGCACCTGCGCAATCCTGGAGGGAAAGGGAAAAGGGGGGGAGGGGGTGGGGGTCAAGTGGATAGCTCCGGCATTCCTGGATACGCCAGGTTACGTACCCCGTTCCCCCGGACGACCCCCGGGTCCTCGGGCGACAGCTGCGGCCAGGCTCCTGCTCCCTCCGCTACCCCGACAAGGCCCTGCGGCGCCCCGCTGTCTCCGGGGGAGGGGTGTCTAGCGTGGCCCAGAAGGGGCTGCTGGGGTGTCCAGGGGGTGTCCTGGGCGCCCCGCTCTCGTCCTCCCGGGCAAGGAGACGGAGTCACTGCGGAACGAGAGGGGGAAGGGGGGGGGGCAGTGGGACATGTGGTACAAAGCTGG